CTTTCCCTGCAGGAATTAATAGGGTTCCCTATGGGTTAATTTAGGCAGTAGGCAGAATCAAGCTAAATTGCAGCCTTGCCAGGGAAATCATGGGTTTATGAGACCCAGCAGGTCTGGGCAGCACCTGACCAGCCTGATCAGATGATGTGGTGGCTTATTTGACCTTGAGTTTTCTAGGAGGCTCTGACGCTCTCAGGTAAGAAAAGGGCAACAACAGCATGACACTTACAGTTAGAAGGAGGCTCAGAGATCCCATGGGTTCTCCTTTTATAGATGGAAAAACTGAGTCCTGGAGAGGGAAATGGCTTATAAGGTCATATAAGCCATTCAGCAGCATTCACCCTTTGTGGCACCAAAGCCACAGTGAGATCGGTACAACAGGTGCCATGGAGAACTGTTTACCTTTATAGCAAACTCAAGTGGAGAAAGAGAATTAGGCTAGAGAGACGCTAGGTAATAAAACTGTCTTTGTGAGCCAACAGTATTTAAATTAGTAGCAGTAAACAAGGTACTCACATGGTGAAACATCTACAAAGTTTGGATCGATATTGTGCAGCAGCTCCATTCTGGGGGATGGGCTTCCTTCACTAGAAAAGAATTTTTTAGAAAATGTTAATTTCCTCTCTCAAATGGGTATCAGTGATTTTAATACTTCCTTTCCTCATATTTACAGGAAATAACAAACCTGCCAGTTCACAACTTGGTCATGAATTCAGAGGCCTCCAAAATGTATGGCTGTGCATCTTCAAGTAGTCATCACTTGTCTATACTGTCACAATGACTGAATGTTTACATAACAACTTCGAGGTCAAGCACGTGACAATTAAAAAATGAGTCCTGTGACCCTTTGCAATAAATAATCTGGCTGTACTTAAACATGACCATTCGTTACAGCAGTGAAATGAGAACTCAAGTCATCCAGTGTAGACTTCATGCTGAACACTCACAGGGAAATGAAAAAAAGCATCTGCCGAGATGGCAGCGCCCATATCACAGATGCAACATGCCTTTTAAATATTAGCCTGCATGAGAAAACCCAATGTCTTCCACGTCTAAATTTACAACGTGAAACTTGTATGTAATACAAATACATGTGAAATAGTCATACTTCTTTAAGATTTTTAAAAATTGTATGTGCAAACAAAATCACAACCTACATTACTGTTGAAAAGAACTTGGAGATCAGTTAGTCCAACGCCCTCATGTTACAAATGAGAAAGGCCCATAGTAAGTTACTGGCCAAACAATGGGTAGTGGGTGTTTTTTAAAAATTGGGAGCATAAACACCACCAGATGTATGCCGGGTGTGCATGAGGCGCCCATGTCATTTTGCTAGTGTAGACTCAGCCTTATGGAGGAAGTTATTAGATATAATTTCAATCGTTGGACTACTTGACAATCCAATAAAAGGTTGCAAAGTACCGTTAACACCATAGGATTTGTCCACATAGGAATAACCAATAAGGCCACTGAAAATAAGAGAACATGTTTTCAGGCGGTTCAATGTCCACACCCCAAACGCACAGCTAGTTGTCTACAGCAGTGGCTTGGGATTTCAAGGACCCATAAATTTTCAAAAAATCTGGATTGTGATTGGCAACGTTGTATTTGCCAAGTAAGGAAATGTTAAAACAAAATTCATGAATTAAAAACAAAACCAAAAAACTTTCAACTACCATTACCATAAAATAAACGTAATTTTAATAGCAACAAAAGGTAGGATGAATACAATCTCAGAATAAGTGACAGTCCTTTAAAGTGAATATGTTTAACTTTAGAATTCTAAAAGATTTCCTTTTTCCTCTCTATTCCATAAAACCCACTAACTAGAGAGTGAGAGAGAAATATGCAGGGATGCCTCTAGGCCTGGGGGCAGCACTTTGCGGGGGGAGGGGCAATATTTCCCTGGATTCCTCATTTTCTTCCTGAGGCATTTAACTAACTACCTGTATACCAGGAGACTGTCAACCAGTCCAAAATGACAAGAACTAGGGTTTGATCCTGGAAGCTCTGAATGCAAGTAGGGATGATGAGCAAAGAAAATGGTGAATGTGAGAAAATCTTAACAGAATGATGATGATGGTGTCTAATTTGTGGGGTTAAAAACAAGCAAACAGAGCTAAAATCTGTATGATAAAAATAGCAAGTAAGTCAGGAGGGGAAATCAGAATGAAAGCATTTTAAAGTCTTTGTATTGTTTGGAAGAGGGTAAAGCTGTTCATTAAATTTAGATTTAGCTAAGTAAAATTTGCATGTTAAAATTTTAAGGTAACTTAAAAACAAAGATAGGGCTTTTCTGGACCACGGAAGAACAAAACAAAATTCATTCAATCCAAAAAACGGCAAGAAAGAAGGAGGAACCCCAAAATTTCTCATCTTTAAAAGCAGAGCTCACTGGAATACCCCCAAAGTTATTAGGCATGGTTAAATAAAACATATTTTTCTAATAACTTTTAAAGAAAGTTTATCTGTATATTATTCATTTATTTCATTTTTTCATTATTCAGAAGAGCCACAGATATTGCAAAATAAGGGAACTTAATAAGATGAGATGAATTTTGAACACTAAAGGTTGTGAGTAATCCCAGTGATGAATTATTTGCTGGGAAAAGTCATCACAGGCAGAATCATCATGATACAAATCATGATGAAAAAAACAAAAGCCAACCAACCTTCCTAAGTATGCTGTGATGCTACTTTTTAAAATGTACGAATCAGAGTATTTTGACAAGGATGTGGTTGGAGATATATGCCAAGGAAATACAATAGAAGACAAGTGATTAAAACAATAACCAAACACCCTAGGGATTCCAAGTTATTAAATAAATCAAGAAAGCCAAATGTACATTTAAGGGAACTGAATAAAGTATCATAAATCTTGGGTTACTCCCCATCAAAATGTTAAAACTTATTAAAATCCCTAGACAAGGTCATGTACCAATTCCCTGGGACTAGTCCTTTGGAAAGTGATGGATTTTAGAAATATTTCCAGGTGAATTTTTTTAAAAGAGGCATACATACATGGGAAGGGAAGATGGTAGTAATGGAAATATGGAAAAATATACACCAAACTGTTAGCTGGGATAGGGGGATGGGTGGGGTGAGACTGCAAAAGACTTTTATTTTCTACAGTGCTTTATACAACTAGCATGCATTATTACTGTAATCAGGAAAATTTTAAGCTTTTTTAAAGTATGGAACTTGTGAAAATTTCTATGCTTCCATAAAGACATTAAAAAGTATAACAAAGAGAAAACTCAGATATTTTACAGAGTTTGGCAGTTTAAAGACAGGAAAACTATCCAGAACTACAAGGTAGTTCTGCAGTATTTAAATGCATTAGTTAATTTTCGGAATTTAATTGCATGCTACCCACGTATGTGCTATCTCATACTGATAATAACTGATCATGTAATTTCCCTCTCAGGAGTGTAGAAATTTCCCTGTATGTTTAAGGTCAGGCTTGCCTTTAGCAAAAACAGTAATGGTTTTAGGGTCACTGGGTTCTCATGTCTCACCACTTAAGTCACTTCTTTTCATTTTGGTAAAGGGTTCAGAGCCTCAGTGCCTGAGATGGAGGGAATAAGAGGAAAGAGAGAGAGATGTTAGGGAGAAAGGAGGGAATGAGAAAAGGGAGATGAGGAGGAGGAAGAAGAGGGAGAAGGAACGAAGGGAGAGGAGACTGTGGGTTTCCTTTAATAGTTACGCACCAAGTTAGCAGAGACTCACTAAAGCACTTAAACGCGCACACACGCTACACACATCAACTCCACGAGGCGAATTTCAGTGGAGACAAGGGCACGGTATAGTGATGCTGGAACAGAGAAGTGGACCCAAGTCACCTGGAGAAGAACATGTGCAGAATAAGGCTGGTGGGAGGGATGGGGAGGGTGCGGGATGAAATGAGAGATTGCAAAGACCCGCTCTGCAAAGCTTCATAACTTTGCCTAGGGAATACTTTAGAGTATTTAAAGTGATTCTGCAAAGACCAGTTACGGGTAGGGAGGCACTGGCCATTACAAGGTGAGGCCCACTGTTGGTGAGGGGAATCCTTCAGGCCCAAATGACACACCCAGGAAGAACACCCCCGACTCTGCTCAGCTCCCACCGTCTGTAGGAATTCAATTTCCCCAGAACTGAGAAACTGGACACCGATACTGGGACACTGGTACTCTGGTTATTGGGAAGGAATATCTACCACTGGATTAATAAACACTCTTTTTTTAAAATATATATATTAAAAGAAAGGTAAGTTCAGTAAGTAGCCACATATTTTCCAGTGCAGTTTAAAAACAGTCTTCCCTTAAGAACTCACAGGGGCTTCCCTGGTGGCACAGTGGTTGAGAATCCGCCTGTCAATGCAGGGGACACGGGTTCGAGCCCCGGTCCGGGAAGATCCCACATGCCGCGAAGCAACTAAGCCTGTGTGCCACAACTACTGAGCCTGCATGCTCAACTACTGAGCACATGTGCTGCAACTACTGAAGCCTGCCTGCCCGTGCTCCACAACAAGAGAAGCCACCGCAATGAGAAGTCTGTGCACCGCAACAAAGATTAGCCCCCGCTCGCCACAACTAGAGAAAGCCCGTGTGCAGCAATGAAGACCCAACGCAGCCATAAATAAACAAACAAACAAATAAATAAAATGTCCTTAAAAGAAAAAAGAACTCACAAACCATTGCCCACTTAAATTTGAGTAGTCTCTAATAATCATATAAAAGATCACACTCCTGTACCTGGAGGGGAAAATGCTTGATCATTTTTTTTCTTTTCTTGTATCTTTTTAGGGCAAACCTTCCCTACTGTTGCTGTGCTCCCGTTCCTTCCCCACACCTCTGCAAATTTTTGTCATCAATAATTTCCACTTGCTTATGCATGTTCCTCTACCTTTATGTCAAAAACTAAATAAATAAATTTTATTTTTAACTATCTTTTCTTCTTTTCACCATTAAATGCCCCCCAAACAGTATGTTTACATCAGTTATTCTCTGTGTCTCACATTAGAATCACCTGAGGAACTTCTAAAATACAGATGCTGTACCTCATTCCAGAAGCATCACTGGGGGTGGAACCCAGGCGTCAATATTTTTTTGAACTCCCAGATGATTTCAACATTCAGCCAAGATTGAGAACCACTGACATGGAGCAGTGCTTCTCAAAATTTAGATCACTTGGGGATCTCATTAAACTTTGGATTCTGATTTACAGAGCCCGGGGGGTGAGGGGAGCCCAGGCATCTACATTTTTAACAGGTTCCCAAGTGATACTGATGCTGCTGGTCTGAAGACCACACTCTGAGTAGCAAGATGGGGAAATCTAAAGTCTTCTTACCTCGGATCTGAACTCTTCTGGAGTTTCCTAAACCAGAAACTCATTTAGATTAGAGCTAATTTTAGAGCAATGATTCTCAACCTTGGCTACACAATGCCATCACCTGGAGAGCTTTAAAAAATACTGATGCTGGGCTTCCCTGGTGGCGCAGTGGTTGAGAGTCCACCTGCCGATGCAGGGGACATGGGTTCATGCCCCGGTCCGGGAAGATCCCACATGCCGCGGAGTGGCTGGGCCCGTGAGCCATGGCCGCTGA